CCGTTCTCATACACACACAGCCCGTGGCAGATTCACTGGCGGGGAGGTATCATTTTAGGATGTGATACTTTACAAAGATGGCCACAGTGACTCCCATCAAACACATTTTCCTCCATCATGTCCTCCAGAATCCTCAAGAAGAGGTGGAATGCAGCTCTCCTACCTTGGACCGTAAGCTGCCCTGAAGGACTTGGTAGAACCAACTGGTTTTGGTCAAAGCCATTCTATAGGACTCCAACCTGCTCCCTGCCTCCCTCCTGCAGCCTTCATCATGCTACATGGAGATGTCATATGAAAACACAAGATTCCATGGTCCCAACTGAGCTTCCTATGTGTGATTGAAACATGGGAGTAGGTGAGGATTCAGCCCATTAGGCATCTCAACTACCCTAGGGTTCTCAAGTGAGGTTGCAGACATTGAGGCAAATATAAACTATCTCCACAGTGCCCGCCTGACTTCCTGTGCACACTCTGTGAGCACAATAAAGTCATAAATGTGTTTAACATCACTAGATGTAGGAGTATTTTTCTATACAACAATAGTTAACCCTATACAAAGTTCCCATAGCCCAGTGGTGGGTGAAGGAGGCAAGCTGGCTTTCTTTCTTCATTGATACCATGGGACTCTCAAAGCTTCCATTTCCTCCTCTGGTCTAGGAGTGGCTCCCTTATCATGGTGTAGAGTAGAGTCCATTGGAAAGCAGTGGAGACAGAGGATTTCTTGAATATTACCAGAAAAGCTCCTCTGATGGGCTTCCCTGTCAGCTGGAGATCAGAGGTGACTCAGGGAGAGGTGGAAAAGTTATTAGCCCACACCCTCCAATCTAACTTAATGGATCTAGGTGGAGCTTTCGCATCAGATGAAAACTAAACGCAGGGCAGTGGGCAGGCAGCCATCAAGAGGCTCTGTAGCAAACACTGACCTCACTCTTTCATACAATGGCATGCCAGCATCTCATTCTGGTACTGAGAGCCAAGAAGGCCAAGACCCCAGCCTGACGATAGGGCCTGAAATGTGAGGCCCAGGGTCAGGTTCCAGTCTTATTCCAGCCTGGGTTTCTCCCCATGAACTGATTTCAAAGAATGCTTTAGAATTTGAACTTGCTTTGGTAATTCCTTTTGTAATGAGAGGTTCTTGTCCTGGCTGGTCCCACAGCCCTTGAACCCCAAATAAACACACGGACTTTATATTACTTATGAAATTGTTGGCCAGTGGCTTGGGCTTCTTATTGGCTAGCTCTGTCTTAATTATTAACCCATAACTACTAATCTATGTATCTTACTGGAGAGAATGCCTGACTCTCTTCCCGGGCTCACATGACCACTCTTCTCTACCTGCATTTCCCCGCCTATCTTCCTGCCTGCCCAACCAGTGTTTTATTCATCAACCAATAAGAGAAACACATGCAGAATAACATCTCTCATCAGAAAATAACTTGATATGGGACATCTTTCTGTATGCTGTGAATGTGTATTACTCTCGTTGGTTGTTAAACACAGTTGCTTTGGCCTATGGAAAGACAGGATAGAGCCAGACAGGAAATCCAAGCAGAAATACTGGAGAATAAGGGCAGAGTCTAAGAGATGCCATCTAGCTGCCCAAGGAACAACATGCCAGCAGACGGGTAAAAATCACAAGCCATGCGGCAATACAAAGATTCATAGAAATGGGTTATTTTTAAAAGATCTAGCTAGTAATAAGCCTGAGCCACCAGCCAAGCATTTATAAGTAATATTAAGCCTCTCAATGGTTATTTGGAAACTGGTAGGTGGGAGAAAAAGCCTCCAGTTATAATAACTTGTTTCAGTAAGCAATACAAAGAACTCTTCTGCAAATTGACCCCAAGTTTTCACAGCAACAAATGATAAGACTACTTGTAATATTTAATAATTATTCCACCTCCTTTTCCCACATACTCTGTGTTCCTCTCCTCTGCTTATCTTCTTCCTCCTCTTTCATCACCACCCCCCCTCCCCGCAGCCCTTGTTCCCAATGGAGATCTTGCCATCTTTCCCAGGCTGGTTCTGAACTCTTATACTCAGAGATCCTTCTGTCTCAGCCTCCTGTGTGCCTGGGACTACAAATACCTAACACTGCATGTAGCAAATTACATCTTATTCTAAAGGACCCTGATTTGTATTTCCCATCTGTTACCAGATGGGAATTCCCCCCACACACACACACACGATGCTTTCTTACTTTCAGCCTAGAAAGGTTCTCAAGAGTTCTTGGTTAGCCAGGAAAGTTGGACACTTCACTTGGTACCTCCAAGTTAAGACATTCCTACCTCTCAAGCCAGAAAAGTCACAGCATAATGAAATTGCCATGAGTGAAAGGTGGTTTCACTCGCTCAGTGCAAACACACTAACAGTTTTTTAAGTACCAGGCATGAACTTAAGAGCATGAGAGAAGGAAGGTACAGAACCAGCCTGCCCACCACGCAGCTCCAGGAAGAAGTGGAAAAGAACATCAGTTAGAACAATGTGGGCTCAGAAAACAACAGGGGAAAGACCTGTAATTAGGGATACAAGGAAGACAGGTATGGAGAGCATGCTTGCGGAGAGGCAGAGTGGAGCAGACAGGAGGGTCTAGAGACAGGAGCATGGCATTTATAGGAAACTGCAAGGCAGAAAGGGGAAAGTTGGCAGGGCAAGCAGGCAGGCAGGGCAAGTAGACCCCGAGTGGTGGTAACAGGAGAGTGATGACCGAAAGCCAGGAAGCCCTGCTGTGCCTGGGAAGATGGGCATGGAGAGCATCAGTGAGCCCTGTCACATAACCCCTCTACTGCAGGGGTCAGATCACTAGTGAGGGGTGTGTCTCCGGCACACGGGAACGTGTTTTCTGAGGACTGTTGAACAGCAAGGTTAGCTTTGGACTCGTCAGTCATGACATGCAGCAGGGAACAGCTGGGTTGAACTGGAGTGGAGGAGGCAGAGGAACCAAAGGAAAACAATGCTTCTGTGAACTTGGCCTCTGCTCTCCTCCTTGGAGGCCGGGGGAGGCAGGGTAGGAAGCCTGGTCTAGTTGGGATGCTGGGGAACATCTGAGCAGGGAACTGCTTCTTCAGGGGGGAGCAAAAAGTCAAGACAAAGGAAAAGTGAAGTCTCCAAGCTGGGCCCCAAACAATTCTGGCCCATTTTCTCCCTGCAATCCTCACCACACCCCCAAAGAAAACAAGGTGGGGTGCTGGCTGGTGCAGCAGGCAGTCTCTCATCCTCCTCCTCCAGGTTCACTGTTGTCCCCCATGCCCCCCTCCAGCAGGCAGGACCTTGCTCCACCCATCTGGCTTTGGCTCCAGCCATTCCCCTCATCCTCCACTCAGCTTTTAGCTTCCATGCTGTGGCCAAGTTGAGTCAGGAAAAAACAGCTAAATTGTGGCTGGGGCAAGCAGGACATTTTTAAAGCCACCCCAGGGGCTGCAATACTGGGAATGTCTGCAGCTCATTCTAGTGAACTCCAGGGAGTTGTGGAGAGTAACCGGCACACAATGTCAATAAGGGGCCCCTGCTTATAGTAGCTGAGAACTCAAGACAAGGTGCTGAAACATCTGTTAGGTTTCAGCTGAGCAGACTAACATGGGGCTAACTTCTTGGTTGGAGGTTCCTGGATGGCATGCATCTCAACGTTTAAAAGAGAATGGATGCTAGAAAATATGAATTCCAACAGCAGGTATTGTCCTCCCAATTGGTGCCATTCTACTTATGCTAATCCTACAGGCAGTTTGAGGGCAATGATACATGTTGTACATCATTTCTTTCCTCTGACCCTCAGCCAGTACTTATTTCCTGGCGGACCGATACACGCAGATGTTTCGATTTCTTGGGGGAACAGTAGTATTACACTAAGTCTCTTAACACTCTGGCTGCACATTAACAACCCTTAATAAGTAGAATAATGTTTTCACACCTTTCCCACTTTTAGATGTAGTCTAGACATAAAGCGGTGATACTGAGCAGTGAACTGTGAGGTTGGGCTGCTTGGGGGCACCCACCCTTTCCCAAGGATTGTGACTCTGGTGGGGAACTGCACCTCATCTGTAACATGGGGATTATTCAAAGTGCCTTTCTCATGGAATTACTGGGCATTCCAGAGCACACAGAAAGCATTTCAAGCAGTGGCTGGCATGGAGTGAACGTACAGGGGCACCCATCCATCACCATCACCAGGGTCTTCAGTGAGGCTCAGCTGTTGGCTGACTCCCTTGTTAAACGGTGACACTGGAAACCTCATCTGTCACCTGTAATGGAGAGTTCACCTTTCACGGTGGAGGTATGTAGAGCTTAGACCTTTCCAGAACAGTCAATAGAGCAAAGCAATCTTGTGTTGCAAGATCCTTGCAAACCATAAAACGAACTGTGAATATTACAATTTGTGTTCCTCAGCACACAACCCTGACTATTTGACATCTTACGGTGGACCAGACACTGTACTCACTGCTTTTCATGGGTTTCTTTCTACACCTAATGACCCCCATGCCCCCAAAGTTAGAACCACTCTAATTTCCTGCTTTGATGATGATCAGAATGACATCCAAAGGTCACTCAGCATTTCAGGTATGATTCAAACCCAGGTCCCTTGGCTTCAAGTCCACACTTTTAACTGCTATGTTATCCTTGTGGGCCAGATAGAAATGTGTAAGTTTACACAAAGTCTGAGGGTTCTTCGGCCTCTTCAGCAGGGCTGGGGCAGCCAGTACCGCAAACCATTTATATGGTTTTGCTCTACCAGACCCACCAGATCTGAAAATCACCTTCTTTACTGCACCAATCTGTATCCAGAAGCCGCAGTCCTGATGGGATTGAAAATTACACTTCTTAAATCTAAGGATTTTCACCTTACACAGAAATCAAGTTTTTCTAGCTAGGACATCAAAACAAAATATAATCCCTCCTCACCAAACAATCCACTACCCCTAAACAAAATACACCACCCCTCCCCTCAAACAAGGCAGGCAGTCTGTTTTCTTTCTCTGAAGTTAAGAGTGAAGAAGACAACAGGCAACAGTAGTGCATTCTGTTTAATATCTCAAATATCTGTGTAGATGGGATCATGCTGCAAAACAAGGCAGAGATCTGTAGAGAAGCATGTCTCACTCAGAGGAAAACTGATTAGAGAGAAGGCACCAGAAACCGTACTGTCAGACTGCATGTAAACAGTAAATGGGGAGACTTTCACAGTGGAGCAGGAACTTCAATACCATTTGGCTGGCACATCCTATGACAGAGATGTCCTTAGTGCTGCTGCTGCTGCTGTCACACACTGGGCACACCCTACAGACAGAAGATAGCCTTAGTGCTGACCCTCAGCCCCAGACTTTCCACTGTGATGTAAACAGTACCTGATGCTAGGAGACAAAGGCCCACACAGCAGCGGTTCAACAGGACAAGAGAGGGAACAGTCGTGAGTGTGGGCCCTCAGGTCTGCTTCCCCTCTCCCACATACAGTGGCAGTGCCCCACAAATGGCTATTCATCAAGTGGGATGTAAAAAAATCAAGTCCTAAAAAGCCCAGGCGAATACACTGTTTCTGTCCATGCTCTTCAATCAGGTGGCGTGGATAGGTCCTGGGTGGAGGGACGTACCACGTCTGGCCATCTTTTTAGGTGATGACAGTGGGGGCAGTGCGTCCTGTCCTCTCCTGGAGCTGGGACACCTTCAGAGCAATGGAGATCAGGGGAGCCAGCATGACCTGAAACACAAAGGGAAGAACCTTTTCCATCACTTTGTAAACAGATCCCTGGTCCATGAGTCCAACCACCTACTCCAGGTCTCCAAGATACCTGAAGCTCTTTTAAGTAATAGAGCAAACCCGAGACTGGCTCCAGCACCCCTTACTTCAGCGAGCCAACTCCAGGGTCTACCCTGCAAAGCAAGTAACCAAAGCATTCTGGGTGCTTCCTCTCCACGCCCCCCACATTCATCCCCTCAAGTGTCAAGCTGTAAATGAATCTCTTGTCGTGGTACCACTTTTCTACAACCCTCTGTCATGACTCCCACTAAAACACTGCTCTCTTAGCTGGGTCCTTCTGCATCCTCTGAGCTGATGCTCACACTGCATCCAAAGAGATCTTTCAGATGCAACCCCCTCCTTCACAGCTAGTTTTCACTGGGGGCGTGGGGTGTGGGTTCCACTGTTAAAATAAATCATCTTTGATATTAGACAAATGAAAACTACATCTAGTTAAACTACCTGTTTTACAGAAGAAACTGATACCACACCATACCAAAGGTGTACAGTGATTGGACACAAATGGCCCAAACAGGACATTTTCTTGCCGCTACTGTCTTTCATCTATATCAAATCATGCTAACTGGGAAAGCCAGCTCCACCAGCTGAGACCATCACATGCCACTGCCTTTGGGCCTTAGACATGGCAGCTAGAGTAAAGGCAGACACTCCCCAGGTGGCTGGTGGTGTCTGCAGGCACGAGAGAACCCCAAATGTTTTCTATGATCCTCTATCCTGGGAATTTAGGTTCAGAAGAAATATAGTTTTTCATCCCTTCTGTCTAGCAAGGGCTAGGCTTTTACCCTGAAGATAAAAAGAGAGATAACCATTCCCTCTTTCCTCCTTTTCTCTTTCTCTATAATCCTAAGGGCCTGTGGTGCAGATCCCAGGGCCCTTGGATCAAGTTTTAGGGAAGCCAAAATCACACAAGGATGTGGAGATTACTGACGCTGGAACCTGGCTGCTGGAGAAAGTGTGACAGAGGAGCAGACTCTTGTGGCTCTGTTTTAATAAACACAATTGCGCACTGTGTATCTAGTCAAGGTCAGACAGCAGAAGGTTGGCTGCAAGGACAGACAGAAAAACAGGCTGCCACCTAAAGGTCAAGTTTCAGTTTTACAAAATGAAAAGGTTCGGATGCTCTGCTGGGAACAATGCAGTGCTCTGTATCACTAAACAAAATACAAACAAACAAACAATTAGAAATTCAGGGTCAATGTCAGAGAAACTAGGATACAAGGAGGAATCTAAGGGATTCATACAAGGTCCCTCACAGAAGGGGAAAGGAACAAGATCTCCTGAGCATATTGGGAGGGGGTAGGGCAGTGAGTGGAGAGGGAGTTAGAGAAAGAGAAGGGAAGGCGAGAACATGTGGGACCAGGAAGAATGAGTTGAAAAAAAAGATACCACAATAGAGGGAGCCGTTTGGAGAGAAAACTGACTCTAGAGAAATGCCCAGAGACCTACAAGGATGACCCCAACTAACAATCTGAGCAACAATGGAAAGGCTACCTTAAATGCCCTTCCCTGGTAATCAGATTGATAACTAACTTATCTACCATCATAGAGCCCTCATCTAGTAGATGATGGAAACAGAAGCAGACACCCACAGCTAAACACTGAGCGGAATTCCTGGAATCAAGTTGCAGAAAGGGAGGAGTGATAAGAAAAGGAGTCAAGACCAGGCTACAGAAACCCAGAGACCTGAACAAGGGGGAGCTCATGGACCCCCAGACTGATAGCTGGGAAACCAGCACTGGACTGACTCAACCACCTGAATGTGGATCTCAGAAGACCTGGGCAGTCTAAGGGACCTCTGACAGTGGAACCAGAAGGTATCCCTGGTGCACTTAGCCTAGAGGCAGGAGGGAGGGCCTAGTCCCTACTCCAAATGACTTGACAGATTTTGATGATCCCTCCTGGAAGGCATCACCCTCCCTCCCTGTGGAGTTGGGTGTGGGGAAGAATGGAATGGGTAGGAGAATGGGATGAGTGGGGAGTTGGTGGGTATGGGAGGGAGGGGGAGGGAACTGTGATCGATATGTAAAATTAGAAAAAAATAATAAATATTAAAAAAAAAGAAATTCAGGGTCAAAAAGTTGGAAATGAATTTTTCTTTTTCACATGTTTAGTGTGTATATGTGTATATCCACACATGCATGAGCACAGAGTCATACAACAGCACACATGTGGATCTAGGAAGACAGCTGGGGGGCCAGTTCTCTCCTTCATCATGTGGCTTCTGGGGTTCAAACTCAGACTTGGTAGCAAGTGCCTTTCCCGTCTCAGCCACCTCATCAGCCTTGAACTTCTTGATTTTTAATGTTTTAAAGATGCCTTTATTTTGTGTGTGTGGGTGTTGGCCTTCACGTATATAGGTGCACGATATGTGACTAGTGCCCAGGGAGGTCAGAATAAAGTATCAGATTCCCTGAAAGTGGAGTTATGGATGGTTCTGAGCTTTCACGTGAGTGCTGAGAACCAAACTGTGTCCTCCACAAAAGCAGCAAGTGCTCCCAACCTCTGTGCATCTCCCCCGCCCTGGCTGGTTCTTTCTTAAAAGCTGATCTCATCTGCCAACCCCAGGGATGAGACATTTAAAACTCACTGTCTCCCCATAGCCCTACCATGATGTGAAGTTATCACTGCACCATTTTATATACTAGGAAACCAAGACACAAAAACATGTAACAAATCACCTGTGTACACAGGTCTTCCGTGATGGGAAGAGAGTTAAAAATAAAACCTTCCTAACTCTGCAACCTATATGCTCAAACCCACTATAATAGGAGTCTCCAAATTTGAGTTTTATAAGATTTTATTAGGTACTAGAAGAAAAGGGGTTTTGCGCAAAAGTACAAATGACACACATTGTTTCACTTCTTTTTAATAAAAATTGCTTTATATTTAAGATATCAAATGTAATTTTTAAAAAGTTGGTTCTTTGCAGAATGATGAGGCTTATGAATGCTAAGTAAGCAGGCACTCTACCATCAGGCCAAACTCCCAGCTCCCAACAGGAACTATATAGGGAAGTGATTACTACTGTCAAACTACCTGAAATAGCCAATCTCTTCATAGCTCTTTTTATGTCGTGGTGGTAGTGAAGACATCAGCAATATATTTTCTTAGAAAAATGTATGCACTTAATGCAGCATTATTAACTACAGGCGCTAGTGTGGCTATGAAACCCCCAGACCTCTTGCATCCTGCAAGTCTCTTCCCTTTAACCAACATCTCCTGACCCTCCCCAGCCCCTGCTAATGACCCTTCTCTCTGTGTCTGAGTTAAACTGTTTCTTTTCCACTTCCACAAATAAATAAGCTCATGTGACACCTGTCTCTCTAGGACAGACTTATTTTGCCCATATAATATTCTCCAAGTTCACCATGTGGCTGCAAATGGCATGACTCTCTTATTTTTAAGATGGAATAATTTTGCATCGTGTGACCTGGTCACACCTTTATCTCTTCGTCTGTGGGACTAATAAAACGGGACAACTTTGGAACTGAGAGAAGAACTGCACAGCAATTGGCTTGGAGGTGCAGCCATCTCCTCAGCATTGCGGTTCCAGTGTCTTTGGACACACACCCAGGCAGAGACTGTGGATTGCACACGAGTTCTTCGTAATTTGTTTGTTTGTTGGGGGTGTCATACATTTTTGAAAGCTGCAATACCAGTGTGCTTCCTATTCCCCAGCATCAACATTTATCCTTGGTCCTTTTGCCAACAGTCAGTTGGGATGGGGTTGTAACTTATTGCAGGTTTCACCTTCACCCTTATGAATAGGGACAGGGCCTCCTTTGCACATACCTCCTGGCCGTTTATGTCCTTTGGAAAACGGCTGCTGAATTCTTCAGCAGATGCCACTTAAATGAGCGCCTTTCAGGGCATGCTGCCTTGAGCCTTTATGGGAAAATATGAGCTGTGAATCGCTGAGAGAGCATGTGGATATAAAGCTCTGGCTCTGGAGCATCTGCTAAGATGAGTGCTGTGAGGAACACACTTGGGGAAACTCCTCTGTGCACCATTTATCCTCTTAGCTCCACCGTTTGGTGACTATCCTGGAAGTCCAGGACCCCTGTTCATTCCTACGTATGCCACAGGCACCCAACTCAGTAGGCTGCAAGTCAGTGGACTTTTCCAGCAAGACGCAGAAAACTACCTGTCTCCGCTTGTCCCTGACTCTGACAAAGCTGGAACCAGCAAATGCTGTCAGAGCAGGTGACCTACCAAGTAAAGCGATGCATGACCAAGGACAGGCCAGACGTCATACATGAACTGATGCAAAGATCCATTCTCATGTAACTGCCACTGAATAGAGCTCATGCCTAGGAAGTGCTGCTTGCCTTTCTGTGCCTCAGTGCCCTCATCAGTATAAGGGAGAATGAGTCTATGTAGTTTGAGAATTAAACAAATAGGGGCTGGTGCTTGATACACGAGCATTAGCACATGAGTTACATCTCCAGAACCACACACAACAAGCTGTGCATGGCCGTGCACATACTTAGAACCCCAGCACTGTGAGGTGGAAAGACAGAGGAGGTCACTTGTCAGCTGCCAGCTTAGCTTCGGGTTCAGTGAGAGACCCTGTCTCAGGGGAATGAGGGAGATGATAGCAGGGCACTGGACATCTTTCTCTGGCTTCCAGGAACACATAGGCATACAGGCATACATCATTACATCATTACATATGCCATTCACACACGTGTGCACGCATGCGCGCGCACACACACACACACACACACACAGGAGACATAGAGAGAACGAGATTATTAACCAAGTGTATTTATGCAATGGGCTTAGTAAACAGCAAAATGTTCAGGCAAAATCTAACTGTCATCATGGTTGCTATTAGTCACTTTGCCCTAACATACTACAAGAGACAAAGGAAAAAGCAACTAGAGCTGGTGACCTGATGGGTTGTTGAGAACGGGCACCGATGCCACAGGTTCAGCGGACCACAATCACTCCCTCGAACCAAAACAACGAATCAGGTACAGGGCACAGGCATTACCTGGGGATCCTGATTGATCTTGGCAGCATCCTTCTCATAACTATCAACATACAGTCGAATGGTGGCCCCTGCACTCCCGGTGCCACTCAGTCTGAAGATGATACGAGAACCATCTGCAAAAATAAGCCGCAAGCCCTGGAAAAAGATAAGCAAAGGGTTTTTCCCCCATGAACACTGAAAGGGAGACTACAGACTGGCAGACATGAGGGGTTCATTTGGAGATCCAGTCTTATCCACTGGGAGGGATTAGATCCTTGATAGATGGCAGCAGTTGAGCCCTGTGAGTCTGCCTTCTATCAGCCTCACTGCATCCAGACAGCGAGGCTTAACTAATGTAGGAGCAGCATTTCCAGGGTCATCTGGGAGAGACAATTTTGGTGATGCTGGACAGCATAAGGCTCTTACCCCTGCCCATTTCCCTGTGATTCATGGACTGGTCATTTCAGCTTGAAGCTTAATAAATAAGTAAAGCTGTTAGATGCGGGATTTGACTTGAGGCTCTGGAGGGAACTGCAGGCAGATGAGAGGAAGGGCTCCGAATAGAACACTGGGAGGGAATCTCAGAAAGGGGCCATGTGCCCTGGGCAGTAGGGGCAGATGCTCATACTAACCCTGCATGATCCAATGGTCAGTCACCTGATGACTGATAACTCAAAGTGAGGTCTGTGGTGGTGCAGGGCCTTTTTCTCCTTCCCTTCCCTCCAGTACCTTTATGCCTTACTTAAGGAGAGGTCGAAGACTCTCAGACAGCTATTTTCCCAGTGTAAGCAAGAGAGGCTACATCAGACATTTGCAGAAGGTCCCTTCACTCTGTATGGGTCTATTTGTATGATGCCAAAGACTGACCGGATGGAAGGGACACTTCTCCCCTGGCGCTTGTCACCACTACACAGTTCTAGCTGTGCCATTCTTTAGATTTGATGCGAGGACACAGATGAGAGACGCAGAAGGTGTTCTCTCGCTAGTTAACAGAGACGGCACATTCACTCCCATCCAGCATGTTTTGCTTTCTAGAAGTGTAGCAGGGTTGTCCTCACCCCCAAGCTTCAACTTGAAGCTTCTGAAACCTCCTCCCTATGTTTACTTTGGGCCATTTCTCTCCTCCCCCATCTTCCCGCTAAGTGCTCTAGTTTCTTACAAAGCGGTACTGCTGTCTCCTTCCTTATGGCACAGAACACAGCTCCAACTTCCCACGATGCCACTGCCCTGTCTCTCCCTTGTGGATGAGGTGCCTGCAGAGTTGAGGACTTGTGTTCTGAACTTATGCTCTAGCTCTTAAGGCTGCACTACAACCTCTGGCGCAGCTCTGCCAACCTCTGGGCTGCTCTGCCATCCTCTGGGCTGCTCTCTCCTCTACAGGCCTCCTTCCTGCAAGACCTGAGTTATGGTCATCCAGACTGATCCTGAGTCCTCATTCACTGAGAAGGCATGAGGCTATACCACTTGCTAACACGGAGACATAGGGAGGCTCTACTCTCTACAGGGGGGCTTCCAGTGACTCCCAAAGCCCATCTCCTCCAAAACCTGGCAGATGCCATGTAAGAGCAAGCCAAAGCTCTGTGTCCCTTTGGGAAAAGCAAGCAGGAAGGTTAGGGTGCACCAACACCTTCATCCCCTTGTCTGTTTCTGAATTCCCAGGCATGACGTCATTCCTTGACAACAGGCAACAGTGAGCAGACCCTGGGTGCTGAATGACTGTGAGAAGGAGCAAGAAGGGTAACCAGCCAGGAGCCTTAGGCACCCATCATGAGAAACCCCAGCCATCTGTCACCACCCAGGGCAGGTCAGATTGTCAGCTATGCTGTCCTACTAAGCACTGCCTTGTCAGATGGCCATGGATAATTAACAGTGGAAATTTCTAACCAGGACGCCTTCCTTAGAGAGGCATATTCTTATTGTGACTCTAGAGTATATTTTGTTGACTCTAGAGTATATTAAAGGAGTGCACACATGACATCATACTGCTATCGTGTCTGAAGAGAGAGAAACTGACATCTAGGGCCATAGTAACAATTTTCAACATCTTTAAGACTTTCCCACACATTCCACTTGGCATTTTGGATATAATTTTAGGGTGTACAAAAATCCCTCTGGCATCTAGGCTCAAAGTGCTAGCATGGAGGTACTGCAAAGACCCGTGGCAAAACAAAACACCAAAACAAAACAAAACAAAAAAACCACCCTCCCTATGAGAGTCACATGGAACTGGGCAGAAAACCAGTTGAGATCCATTGCCTCAGAAAAACAGGCCCTGCCAAGGAAACACAACCTCGGGCCTTTTTCATTTTTTTGCTTGAGGCTTCAGAGATGACACTCTGGGGTATCTCTCACTTACCTGATTTCTTGAAATGCTTCCATCGACGGGGTCACTATATTCAAAGTTATCAGCTTTCTCCACAGTGTAGACTTTATCGTTTGCTGAGAACTGCTTCCCCACAAAGGAGCGGTCCAGCATCAGGGCCTCCAGGTCCTTCATCATTTTGCTTGCACCCTCAGCTTCCACCTCCTCGTAATCATACCTGGAAGAAGTTAAGTAGCTGAGACCCCTGAGTTGACATTAGGGCATCCAAGGCAAGCAGCACTGTCATCCTGTTTGGTCCTCCCCTACAGCTATCTAACTTCAGGAGGCTGGCAAAACCTGTGAACTCATCAGCCAGCAGGGAGAATGTGTGCTGGGGATGAAAGGAGGGTTCAGAGGAAAGGGACAAGACCTTCTGAACAACCAGAGAACTCCCGGGTTGGCTTTTCTAAACAAAGAGGTTCAAGGATGCTTTAAGGGCTTCAAGGAGACACCATCTACTGCTGCATCCCTACATCTTGAGGAGGGAACATGACCAGTTCTATTACCTCCCAAGAACTCTGGGTCATACCACATGACTCTGGTCCTTCTGGTCATACCAAATGCCTCTTGCTCTTATGAGGTAAAGGCTATACCTGCTCTCAGTTTTGGAAGCTATGAGACAGTGGCTAAGCAGAGTTCCAGGATCCACAGAATTTCCTAGAAAAAGGCTGGAATATAACACACCAGATAAGCAGCCAAAAGCTACCTAGTTATGCTTCAAACACCAGCCTCCTTCAGCAGTGAGTGTATTCTGATTTAAATTTAGCTTGGTAGAGGGATGCCTTAAGTGGATAATAAGGGGTCAAGAAAAGAAAACAGCTGTAGCACAAATGAAATTCTGTGATTATTATTTTTCTTTCAAGACTTGTTCTCAACCTCTTTCTTGTGAAGTTAAAGACCTTGGCATGCTTTCTTCACCTGATGGCACATATCCTCTTGAAACAGAGGCCCGAGATGTCAGAATCCATTTGCTTGCTATAGTGAAATGAGTACAAGATGTGCAAGATAACACCTCTGAGACACGAGGAGTACTGGAGAATTAGAGCCAACTTACTCTGGCTCCAGGAGTCTACGAAGCTGAGACAAACTAGCCCCTCTGTCCTGAAGTTGGCACTTTCCTCCAGTTAAAATGATAAAGAGCAAGAAATTACAACCAGGCTTCTGTGCTTTATGCCTGTGACCTTTGGGTGTTTGGGAGAGGCGATTTTTAAATCCCAAACACAGAGGGCTGGAATGGAAAGAATCCTGTCTTGGTAACCAAACAGAGCAAGCTACGCCTCCAGCTTCTACTAGCTGCTTGCTGCATAGAAGGGTCAGCTGTCCTGATTCTCAGAATCTCAGTTGTCTTATCAGATGATTGTCTTGAGGCTCAGGTGAGACCCCCGGTGCAGAAGGTGACTAGCACTACTGCTCAGTGAATGGAGGGCACAGTGGAGTCAGCATGAATCATAAATGCGGGTTCTGAAGACTGGATTTGCAGTGCTTGATTGGCAGTTGCATTCGATAAGCAGTAAAAATATGGTGAACCATTGCCAACATGGGGGTGTGTTTGTGTATCAACAGTGAAGCTCTGAGCACCACTCAACCTTACTCCACTCTGGCTACCGTTCATTCTTAAGATCATTCATGTCTATTCAAGGAGTGTTTTCAGGGTGTCTGTATGACTCAGGGGACACCAAAGAACATAACAACAAACATGCTGTTGTTTTTGTAAAACTCTGGATCTACAGCATCCATGATTGCTACTGTGAATTACCAGGTGTTCTTGCTCCTAGGGAGGACATCCCTGATTGGTTCCCAGGACTTCTTCAATGATAACACATGGTAGTCTTTTGTTTGTTTGTGTAATGCATTCAACAAAAGAGTAATCCTCTTAAAAGGTTAACAAACTCAAGTTGCCTAAGGTTTAATATGCTTCTGATTCCCTGAAGACCATGGATTATCAGTTCTGGAATATAAATACTTTCTTTTTCTTCTAAAAGTATCTAGTCCAATGTACCCATTTTATAAAAAATGCAACTAAGGAAAAAAATAAGAACCAAACAAACAAAAATAGCCAGGCAAAAATAGCCTTTTAATGCCAACACTTATAAGACAGAGGCAGGCAGATCTTTGTAAGTTTGAGGCCAGCCAGAGCAATATAGTGAGTGAATTCCTGTTTTTTTGTTTGTTTGTTTGTTTTTTAAATTTAAAAAATGAAACAGGTCCAATGAAATTATATCCATAAATTTCTTACATATACTGCTTTATCTAATATCCCTTTTCATAAAAATATTGAGATTCAGGGAAACAACTATTTGATTTTTCACTTAGTAAGGGATAATCAAATTAGAAATAATGAAAAACCCCAACTAACAATTTGAGCAACAGTGGAAAGACTATCATAAATGCCCTTCCCTGATAATGAATTGATGACTAACTTATCTGCCATCATAGAGCCCTCATCTAGTAGCTGATGGAAACAGAAGCAGACACCCATAGCTAAACACTGAGCCCAACTCCTGGAATCCAGTTGCAGAGAGGAAGTAGTGATAAGAAAAAGGGTCAAGACCAGGCTACAGAAACCCACAGAGACGCTGACCTGAACAAGTGGGAGCTCATGGACCCCCAGACTGATAGCTGGGAAACCAGCACTGGACCAACTCAGACCCCCTGAACATGGGTCTCAGTTAGAAGGCCTGAGCAGTCTAAGGGACCTCTGACAGTGGAACCAGGATGTATCCCTGGTGCAGGAAAGGACTTTGGGAACACATCCCCCATGGAGGGATACTCCCTTAACCTAGAGGCAGGAGGGAGGGCCTAGTCCCTATTCCAAATGACTTGACAGATTTAGATGACTTCTCCAGGAAGACATCACCCTAATGTAGAGTGGGTGGGGGGGATGGGATGGGAGGGTGGTCGGGGATCATGGGACAGTGGGAGGGAGGGAGAGACAGAGAGGGAAGAACTGGAATTGATATGTAAAATAAGAAAAGTAAGTAAATAAATAAATAAAAAGAAATAATGAAAAACACTACTGGCAAAACGTAATTTGGGGGTACAAGGGGTTGACCCCTAAGCTTCCCACATACTGACCACACGGACACTTCACTCTCCCACTCCTCACATTTTAACACGTCTTAAAAATACAAGTATATATGATAAAGAGCTGTTAAGTGTTCTTAAATAATTTTTCCTACAGAATAATTAGCACCTGGGATAAAGAAAAATAGATAGTAAATATTTTTTGGATCAATGGATGAGATGCTGACCAGTATCATGGGATCCTATTAAATGAGTCAGAAAGTTGATCTGAACTGAGCATTATTTCCAGAATGTAAGGAGAAACATTTCCAGGCTTTTTGAGCCTCAGAGTTTACAAAACATCTTCAGACTCTGATTTCACTTAATTCTCTCAACAGCCAAACCAACATTCCTCTTTCTACAGGAAACTGAACACAGAGGTTAAACTCAGAAATGAAATAAAATTCAAATCTATTTCTGTGACTCTAAACTCGATGTTATTACCCTGTTCACCTGACAGGTACATTTAAAGTGCTTATAAATAATGCTTATTCTTTTGATTGGGCTAGCTAATTTTTTAAAATCCTTGTTCTTTATGGTTGGCTTAAAAATTGACTTCATCTGCACCCTGACAAGATCATTTTCAAAATCCCCAGTTAAAGAAGCTACGAAGGCTTGGGTGCCAGTCTCATTACAGATAGGATAGACATTGTCCCTGAGAAATCTCTCTCCCCATGATCCCTCAAACTCAATCCAGACTGTGTCCTACCTGGTAAAGAAATTCCGACCAAACTTCTGCCAGTGGTCTTTGAGGATGTCCTCCACGCTCTGTTTTCGGGTGGCCAGAATGGAGAGCCAGGCCAGCACAGCCCACAGTCCATCTTTCTCACGAATGTGGTCAGAACCTGCAAGGCAATGAGAAACTTGGCTTTTGAAGAGGCCTTGAGAGCAAGCCCAGCAGTACATAGACTTCTAAAGCAGTCAAGGGCTCTCCAGAGGACTCCAGCAAGTGAAAGGGCACATGTGTTTAACAAAGTGGCACAGCCCTGGCAAACAATGGAAGAAACTTAGGAACCATAGGTAGATGCCAATAAAGCATCTGTGGGATGATCTGGTAAAGCCTGGTGTATCAATTATAAAGTATTGGTGTGAGAGGAAAGGTTCCAAATCAATCTCAAAGAAACATGCCTTGTGAATTTCAGTACACATAAAAGCCTGAAGCACAATGAGACAAAGCAAATCACCCAGATAGAGATGTGGATACAGGGGAGACTCAAGTCAATAAAGTCGCACTTTGAGCCTATGGGGGGGGGGATGGATTGCTTTTAATGCTGTTAGCATAATGGGCTCATAACTATAAAGAAACTTTAGGGTGTTTTCCTTAAAAAGAAAACAATCCAAATTCAGAAGTTGAAACCCCTGCTAGGTAAATAAGATAGTGTATACATGTCATCCCAGCATTGGAGAAGTGGAGGAAAGAAGATCAGAAGTTCAAAACCAGCCTGGGCTATATGAAACCTTGTCTTAAAAAACTGGAAAAGGTGGGGGTGGGGGCACCTGAAAGCCTTTAGACACTAGAAAATATGTAAGTTTCTTGAGAGTAATAAATACAAGCAAATCCATTATTCATAAAGAGAAACTGACATGTGTATCTACTTTAAAAATGCTTATTTCTATATAGCACTATGATATTAATTAAAGGTCACTGATACAGTTTAAAGAATCTATATTATTTACAACTGCAAAACAGATATTTACAATATTTAGTGTAGAAAAGAATGCTATTAATAAGAAAGCAAGATCTAAATAAACACAAGTACACCAAAGATACAATGGGCAATTCGTATAAAAATTAATTGATTATTAATGTAACAAAAGACTGGCACTATTTTTAAGAAGATAAATTAAAACCACAACGAGCAACTGGTACTTCTTGACAAACATCCACGGATTTAAGTTAGAACCTTGGGTGGTAGGGGATGTTTAACAGAAATGAGACCCTGCTAAGTGTTCTTGAATTACATGGGTACCACCCTTCTGAGAAGCAGCTTAGCACAAAATATCTAACTCTAGTGGGCAACCCTGTACTAGAACTTTCTTTAAACCAGTGAGGACCGGTTTGGTGACTGGGACACAATCCTCCTTTTTGCTGAGGTCCCAGCTAAAATCGTCACCAAATTAAGAAATTATCTCCTTTGCATGCATGACTGTGAGACTGTGGCTCTGTGTGTGTGTGTGTGTGTGTGTGTGTGTGTGTGCGTGCGTGCATGTGTGTCTGTGACTGTATGTGTGTGTGTGTAGAAAGACTTTTTTAGAAACCTGCCATGAGTCAAAACTTTGACTTTTAGCATTTTAACTTTTTTTAAAAATCAAAACAAAGAATACACCACAGTGAACTAGTTTTCTGAGGACCCCACATGATCTTTGGAATCATGTTTCCCATCTGCCATATCGTGAGTTCTTTCCATGTCCTCTTGTCCTCCTTGCCTTTGCACTTGATCTTGTGTTCCCTGGTGCTTCAGAGTATCTGGGATGATGCTGGCACTGGACATGGTTGGGGATGTCTTGAGCATGAGACTCTTAATCTCAGGGTGGTAGGTTCAAGGCCCATTATGGGTGCCAATTGTAACACAAATAAATAAATGACCCAGAGACAAGCCACTAGCTCTTGCCTCTACCTCAGGATGAAAGGGCTGATCCTGTCTCTGTGAGCGCTTACCAAGCCTTGGACTGTTGCCTTCCCTCAATGTGGCTGGAGAATGAATGCCAGCTCTGTGATCCTGTTCCTGTCTTAAATATCTCTCATGAGTCCTGAGATTAAAGGTGTGAGCTCTGTTGCTCTTTTAGACTGATTTAATCTCATGGAGCCCTGGGTGGCCTTGAACTCAGAGAGATTCATCTGCTTTTGTTTACTGAATCCTGGTATTAAAGGTGTGTACAACCACTGCTTGGCTAGCTATTATGGCTGCTAGAATTAAAGGTGTGTATCATCACTGTCTGACATCTATAGCTTGTGCCTAGCTTTACTTTTACATTCCTCAGGCAAGCTTTAATAAATCATAATATATCACCACACTTCTCTTTGTGTCTTTATCCTTTTATCCCCAACTCAAATATTCTCTCCTCCTTAAGACTAGCTCCCAACTACTCTGAGCAATTTTGAGTTACTTTTTCTTTCTTCTTCTACAGCAACCCAAGCAAGATCTCTGGGCTGATAATCATACTCCTTGAGCCCCTCCCCACTAACCCTGTGCTTCTTAGAGACTTGTTATTTTTGCAACTACTTCTGATAGTACAGCATGTGAAATTTAGCAAGGAACTGTGGATGTGAGCATGAATGAGCAAGTTAATTAATTCATTGCCTCCAACACTTTCTCTTTTTTATTAAAATAAATAAAGTTTTTCTTTCCAACATTTTTCTCTTTGATGGATGGCACTTTTAGGGTATCTTTGTCAGGATTTCTATTGCTGTGATAAACACCATGACCAAAAGCAACATGGGGGAAGGGAAGTTAAGGCAAGAATTCAAAGCAGGAACAGGAGCAGACATCTTGGAGGTATGCTGCCTACTGGCCTAAACACATGGCTTGCTCAGTCAGCTTTTGTATACAGTCAAGGACCACCTGCCCAGAGGTGGCAGTACCCACAATGGGCTCGGCCTTTCTCCATCAATCATTAATCAAGAAAATTCCCCACAAGCTGCCTAAAGACCAATCTAATGGAGACATTTTCTCAATTAAGATTCCCTCTTCCCAGATATAACTACGTTTGTGTCAAGCTGACAAAAACCAACCAGAACAAGAAGTGAAGTGACATCTTAAAACCCAGATGCTGCAAGACTAGAGACTACAGGCAGTACATTATAAGGCTTTATATAACATGTTTTGGAAATGTTTACATAATTTCATTATCTACAGACTTTTGCCTTTACTGCTATTTTAAGGAATAAAAAGCTCTCTGCCTGTCATGGCTTTTACAAATGAGATGTTTTGGAATAGTTCATACTGAGAATTCTGGCAGCTTCCTCCAATATACTGGAGATCCGTGATAGTTCAAAATTACTTATCTGCACTCCACTGGTTTTCCCTTTCCTTTTTGTTTAAGAAAACACAAGAGTTTTCTCAAGTTCTATTCATTTAGTCATAGAGTATGTGTATGAGGCTGTGTGTGTGTTTACGTGCACTACATGCATGCAGGAGTCTGTGGAGACTGAAGAGAGTATCAAAAAGTCTGAAGTGGCCTTAGAGGAAGCTGAGAGCCACCCATAATGGGTGGTGGGAACTGAGCCCATGCCCTCTGCAAGAGTAATGGGTGCCCTTAGCTGCTGAACATCTCTCCAACCCCTTCTGTGTTTTACAGACAGGATCTCCCTGTGTGTCCCTGCCGGGAGAACCTATAACTTTCCTGCCTCCACCCTCAAAAGCTCTGACAACTACAGGTTGTCAGCCACCACACCTGGCAACTCCTTTTAAATTTAAATAAATTATAAAGAAGAAGTGTGCATTGACTTTTTTTCTGTCCTTAGAGGGGTGGGAGGGAGCTTGGCTGAGAGCATGGATATGCTTCCACTTCTAAATAAGAAACTTAGATATTTTTTTCTATTAAGAGAAAAATGAAACCTAAAAGTCTTACCAACTTTGACCAAGTTATTTGGAAATAACTAAATCATACACTCACTATCATAAATGAAGCACCCGCCTTGGGTGATGTCAACATGCATTCTACTCTACTTGTGGGGTCTTCAGTCTCTTGTGCTCTATTGATTTTGGATGGAAGAAAACTCCAGATAACATGGGTAACCCTCAGGGAGGCTGGATAAATTCCATTTCCTTCAGTGCTCTCATGAATAGTAACAGTTCCTAAGGAGAAGTGGGAGAAGTGGCATGGTGCCTGCGTTGCTAACTTGCTTTCATAGCTGTGATTCAATAAAAAGTGCTTTTTAGTAAGAGGCAGAAAAATCTCAACTTGAGTTGTTATTTTAAGGAGACATTTGGGTCTAAATTAGTTGCTTTACTTTTTCAAAGCCTCTGTTTTGCCACTTGAAAACAAGGGAGAGAAGGCTGCCCTCTCGCACAGCTGTGAAACATCCTGCACACCAGCAAGTGGAGACTTACAAACCGTTGCGTGTTTTATAATGTAAATGCAAGATGCTATTAGTAATAAGGAGAAAAACGGAATTTTTAGGGGAAAGTGATGTTTGCCATTCACCATATTAAGCTTTCAAAAAATAATGTCTTTCATTGTATATAGTGGAAAGAAAATGGAAAAATAAATGTCTTCTCCTCTAGGTCATGGAAACATTTCCAACCCCTAAAGGTATGAGAATTCAAGCTCACTAAAATGTAAGGAAGAGAAGCTACTGTCACCCACACTTGCAGAATGGTAGTGGTAATGCTGGGTTTCTCTCTTGGTGTCTTCAATCTTGCTCCAGTGCAGGACCTAACTGCAGCCTTAGGAAATCTGCCCTTTCAGCACCTTGCAACACCTGCCATTGCACTTCAGCTTAATCAGCACCTTGTGGTAAGGACACACTGGGCCCAGTCAGGGCACGCTCTGGGTCCCTGGGTAAGAAAAATGTCAACCCTGGCTGTAGGAGCCAAGGGTTAATCATTTAGGGATTTGGTTACATTTACTAGCATGGGCATCTCAGGAGCTGCCCTGGCATCAGCCTCTGCCAGATGACAGCCTGAGATGGATAGGACAGCTGGAAAACAGCAACATGGAATTCTCTGAGAGTGTCAGTGTCTTCTCTCTCCCTTTCTCTCTCTCTCTCCCTATTCCCCTGAACATCAGATCTCTCTGTTTGGAAATTTCCATGCACCCCTAGTAGCCTGGCAAACATTTTCTGCAAATGCTTTCACCTCATACTCATGCAAGGTGGTACCCTTGACCTCTCTGGAGGTGCTATTGCCACCAACTCCCATGATCATACTCTATACTCTTGACTATGAGCTGTGGCCACTGTTGGCTCAGAGCAATTCTCAAGAAGGGTTTGCTCAAGAATAGCCAGTTCCTAGCTGTGGGATGCCATCGAGTTTCCCGTTCTGTGCTCTACTAGCACTAGCTGGAAAGGACTGTCTCCTCAGAAAGCCTTCTTTAGCCCACTCCAGCCCTCAAAGGATTGTTCCCCAAGAACTCCCAACTCTCCACTTAGCTCATCTCCTGCACAGCCTCTTGACTGCTCTAGAATTGAGTTTCCTTTCTACAGAGTACCTTTGTTGGAAAATAGTAAGTGCCTGGATGGCAGGAAATGTGTTAACATGAACTTCACTCTATATTCAACAAACAAGAATCAATGCCAGAATGTTCCAAGTACCAAGGTATGTCTCCCATCCTTGCAGATGAGCACAAAGACACAGGTGAAGAGGCATGCATGCAGGTAACAGTATGCCTGAGTTAAATATAAACAGGGTCTAAGCCTAGTCCCATTGGCATAGTTTGCCTGCAACATCTCCAGACATGGGATGCTGCCATCTTCCTTGGAAGCTCTATATATCTAAGCTGAGGTTATAGCTCTATGGTGGAGTATTTGCCTAGCATGCTCAAGGCTCAGTTCCTAGCAAAGAAAATGAAGGAGAGGAAGACTAGAAGAATAGCTGGTGCTATACCTCAACTGACTGGAGAATACATTTTATGAAGTAGGATAGGACTAAGCAGTAACCTATTATTCTCTTATTAAAGACTCAGAATTCTGGAAAATCTAGTATCCTTTGAGGACATTGTTCACCCCTCAAATTCACCTCCCTTCCTTTCTTTTCTGTTGGAGCGTGGTGGGGGGTGGGGTGGGTTTGGGGTGATTCAGACTGGGTTTCTATGTGTAGACCTGGCTGTCCTGAAACTCAAACTCAGCGATCCACCTGCCTCTGCCTCCCAAGTGCTGGGATTAAAGGTGTGCCCCACCATTGCTACACTTCACCAATGTTTTTCAGTATTCAATTCTATCAGGTCAATTTGTTATCAAGAAGCACTGCCACTCTCCCAAGAACCGTGAACTGCACAAAACTTCATAAAAACCTGTCCCAAGTCCATCAGCTTACACCTCCCACCACAAATTCTGGGTTCAGAGGTCAGTATTTGGTCCTGATTATCCTTTGCAACTGCAAGACTTAGCAAATACTTGGTTTTGACTTTTTCTTTCCTAAAAGGTGATCAGACAGTAATAAAAGTACCACAGAGATGAGACCCTTTACTTTCAAATGTTGGGCAAAGAGAGATGGGAATATTTGATTGCCTTGCAACCTAGCTGGCTAGAAATAAGTGCAAGCCTGTGCAGATGTCTGGAAAAGGGCAGCTGATATAGGCGCAATGGGACAATAGGGAAAGCCATGGGGGAGGCCAGAGCTCAGGTCAGAGTTTGGACTGGCAGAGATGAGAGTGGAAAGCATAGGAATGGGGCTCAGCGATCACCAGACCCTACTCCGTGTCACCCTTCTCCAGCTATAGTCCACACCTAGACCCTCACACATTTTTAGCACCCATCAACTTAGTTTCACCCTCAAGGTTAACCCTCCTTCAGTTAACCCTAATAAAACATCATAATTTGTTGCTATAGAAAACTTGGCTCCATGAAAGGGAAAGATTTAATGACATGCCAAAACCTCTTCTTACATAAAAACAAAACAAAACATGCTCTACCATATTTCTCCTTAGAAATGAAAACATTTGTTAAGGTTTCCTTGGCCACTAAGGGAAGAAAACTGTTTATCGTGTGTTTAATCCCTCAATGTGCAAAGCTGCCAAGGAGGCCCCCAAACTTCCTGTTCGGTAGTTGTAATCCTCCTAAAGTAAAGCCAGCCCTCCTGTCCAAATGTGCCCACTGCTTTGTCAATGTGTATACTTCACCAGGCTGTCATAAATAAACCATGCCTTGATTTAGGGTTCACTGGCTCCTGCTGCTATCCTAAGATCTAGGCAGTCTAAACTTTCCCCCGAGGCAGCAGTTGCGGGAGAGAAACTGCTAGTATGATGCAACTTACCAGTCCCAAAGCTCTCCTCCCCACAAAGGGACAGTTTGCTTGCATCCATCAAGTTCCCAAAAAACTTCCAGCCAGTTGGAGTCTCGTACAAAGCGATCTTTGTGGCATTTGCTACCCTTGAAAGGCATGAAATCAAAGTTACATCACAGCAGGACTGTGAGCAGAGCCATGTGAGGATGGAGAAGAGCGACCATCACTGTAACCAAGGGTCCCATTTAACATTTCTTAGAGGTAGACATAATTCTGTGTATATTGGAAAATCAGAAAAGAAACTTGGGCACAAGGGGCTCTTCTATATGGACTCAGAGGAAGGTGGAGAAGAGGAGAAGAAAGGATTTATTCAGATCACAGTCTAATACTTGAGGTTTAACAGGAGTAAAACAGCAGGGTTGGGGCATTTAAACCCATGTGTCTGGGTACAAAAACACACTGGTAAGCATCCCATAAAGAGCAACAGAATGGTGTTTTGATGTGTTTATTAACAATCACAGGGGTCAGCATTGCACAGGGAAGGTTCAGAGCAAGCACTCAGGCAGATGACCCACAGCCTATACTCAGCTTCCAGCCAAGGTTTCTTTCTTATAACCAGATTCCTAGCTGTGGGGTCTCCATTCCTAACAGCCTCACCCATTCTGGTAAGTAGCCTTGTTCTCCTCCAACAAATCTTTTTCCCCTTCCTTTACAGCTTTAGACTACAGAAGACCTCTGGGAAGGGCTGCAACTATAGTTCAGTAGTGGGGAGCATGCTTAGCATGCACAAGGCCCTCAGCAGACTCCCAGCACTGATAGATAAATGGATGAGGGAAGAACTCTGGAGTGACTTTTTTAACCCTGCCCCCCCCCAAAAAAAATTCCCCTTATGTCTGAATAGTTGAAGTTGCCTGATAGTTTTAGTGCAATCTCTGTGAGGTTTGCGTTCCAGGATACTTGTCCTTTTCTTCCAAGCAAAGCTGAGTGACAAGCGTCAGGATTCGAACAGGGAGGGGGGGAAAAAAAATCAAACCTATGATTCTGACAGGGAGGAAAATCAAATCTATGATTCTGGGATCCATAAGAGCACTTTTATTTCAGATAAGGTTTTTCAGTTTTGAGTCTATACAGTTTATCAGTTTTCTAATTCAAGTACTTCTGACAAGACACAGAAGGCATTTCAGGGCCACCAAGCAGCTCAGAGCTCCAGTGTCAGGTCTGGAGGCAGAAACATAGGCTTCGGTACTGCTCTGGGTCAGCTGTAGCATCTTAGTAAGGCTGGCAACTCCTGACTCTGCTTCTCGGTCTTGCAGTCAAGGTGCCAGGAGGATCATGCGATGGAAAACAGGAGGGACTCCACAAAAGCTCACTGTCCTGGCATCAATCATGCTTTTCTTATTAACTAACTAAAGTGAAGCCAGCAGTAATTCTGTGACCACCTCATCTCCAAAGTGAACACCGTATGCTCTAGCCGTTAGGAGCTGGGGCTCTGCATTCAAATCCTGACTTAGCCACTTGCCAGCTCGCTGAGTCTAACAGCCTCCTTGACTTTTTAACATTCTCCAGTAAAGTAGGGCTATTAACAGCATTTAATATTAACAGCATTTAATTGGATGACTTAATCAAACATGTAAAATATTTATTGTCCTGGTCAAGGGACCATTCCTAAAGCTTAGCTACCACTGTAAGTGCCTGGCCCACCCTTCTTTCTTATGGTCATGGCCTTTTTACTCATTCACTCTTAATCAGCTAGTTAGCAAAAAATTCCTGAGCACCTAACATGTTCTAAAAGCACCCTGTTTATTACTTTTTATTTTTAATTGTTTTACATGCACACTGCTCAACAAAAATGATCCTGCATAGTTCAAAAATAATGGCTTGACTACAAAGTAGCACACATTCATTTACTCACAAACATTCACTTACTCATCCACTAGAAGAAAAACAGTGAATATATGTATACCCTACGATATTTAGGCACACTACTAAGCAGAATCTAGGATGCTGACCAAAAAAAAAAAAAAACTGTTTTCTCTGTAGAAGTGATAGCCTAGCTGGAGAGCCAATCAAACAGAGCCTGTCAGAAATCAGGGTGGTGAGTGCTGGACAGGAGAGCAGGATGCTGGAGGAGGAGTTTGGAAAAGGGCAAACCCTGCAAATGCCTCATTCAGGAAAGCTCCCCTTTGAGCAGCTGGCCATGCTCAAAGGGGAGGACACATGCTCCAGGCACAGGGAAGCTCATAAGGAAGAGCATCGTGATTTGAGACAGGTGGGCCCAAGAACGGAGACCTACCGATCCAGGGCGCCACTTGTGGGCATGCTGCGGGCAAAGCCACGGACCCCAGTCTGCTGGAAGTACGGAATGCTGAAGATGTTGGCGGCGATGACGGCCACAGAGTCGGAAGGGTTCACAAAGAACCCATGCTTGCCCAGAATCATGTTCCGATCCTTTGGAAGGAAGGAGATTCAAAGTAAGACCTTTTAATCAAACAGCGAACAACAGCAAACCATTATCTGCAGAGTCAGAAAATCCAAAATGGATCCTATGCTCACACTGGGCTTTAAACACTGCATTTTTAGCGGATATGTACAGTGCTGTTGGACCAAAGGCACCTCCGTGCTCACAAGTTAAGAATGGTTTCAATTAAAGTGCAAGCACCACCCCCGCTTTGAGCTAAACTCTCTGTTCTCCCTCCAGGGGCCCACTAACTTTAACCTCCTAGACCTTTCCAGACTCTGGAACCAATCATGCCTTTCCCAGAGGAGAGGAAAGGATGTACAAGGGAGGAAATGTTGGCTGTTGATGCAGTCTGACAGGTCTGCTGGGCATCCTTTGAGGAACAAAGACAGACTTCTTTAAGGAAGGGCTGCTAAATCATGGTTCCCCCATTTGATACTGGACCCAACAGAAAGGCTACCACCTTCATTGCTTCTGAGGTGCCTCATGCACAGCACCCATGAGTGGGAGGGGGAATGCCAGCCCACGGTGCATTGGAAGATGCATTGTGATACAGTACCTGCTATGAGCCCCTTTGATTTTCCTAAAATTGGATGTGGGGAAAATTAGCTTTCAGGAAGCAGTAGCTTTTAGCTGGTAAAGCGACTAAAATAAAAACTCAATGTAACAAACAGAGCACTTACTGTCTATGACACACCTAAGACATAATCTCCTTTGTTTTCACATGGTCACCAATGAAAGGAGCAATTTATACACAGAATTTTCATTTTAGAGAAAGAATAGAATGGTAATTCTCTTAACATAATCATTATATTGGCTCTAAATAGTTTCATAATCCAGCTAGTATTAATGGATGCATAGGAACATTATAAGATGAAATCCTTCTCTAAAGGTTAAATGATTAATCAGGCTGGCTAAGACCTACCTTAGGACAAGTATCTAGAACTTCAAGAGCTTATGAGGTATAGTCATTAAATCCTAAAATGGGGCCTAAACCCTCCACTCAGCACATTTGAGTGCCTGAAATTAAATGCATTGGTTACATTTCAAAGACTCTTGTTTCTGCTCAAGGAGGTCTTTTAATCACTTGGCCCTGGCCTCCAGTGCAACAAGAGGCCCTTGAGAGCCGCTCACCAGGCTCCGGTGGCCAGGTAGAAACTATCTACCCTCTCCCCCCCATTCAAGGCCCAGTTTGCATGAGAATTCATTTAGATGTACTTATACCCACCCCATCACCATCAAAGGCAGCCCCAAAATCATGCTCTCCTGACTTCATGGTCTCGACCAGGTCAGCAGCATAGGTGAGGTTGGGGTCAGGGTGGTGGCCTCCAAAGTCCTCCAGGGGAACGCAGTTCACTGCTGAGTTTGCGGGGGCACCAAGTTCCTCACAGAGGATCTTCTTTACGTATGGTCCCACAACTGTAATGAATTAAAGTACGAAGAGTCAAAACAGAAGACTGACTAAAATGGTTGAAGGTTGAAGGGTGAGATGAACATACTTGGGGAATAAGAATGGTGTGGACAGCTTCATATTCCTAGATATCACAGTCAATGAGGGGAGCCACCTACAGAGCCTCTGCCCATTCCCCAAACATGTACAAATGAGGCCCTCGTGTCTGCTAACTAGCTGAGGGTAATGCAATCCTGATGGGAGATGTCATTCTGTAAATATGTTTCTCTTATTGGTTAATGATTAAAGCACTGTTGTCCAATAGAGAAGCAAGACAGGTGGGACTAGGAGAGGTGGAGGATTCTGGGAAACATAGGACAGAGTCTCGATGTGATCTCAAGAAGCAAGGACTCGAGTCTGTCATTCTCTGTAAGGTAAAACCATGTAGAAATACATATATTTTTAATTATGGATTAATATTTAAGACAGAGCTAGCCAATAAGAAGCTCTAGCCATTGGCCAACAGCTTTATCATTAATAGAGTCTCTGTGTGTTATTTGGGAACTAACCCAGCTCTGAGACCAGGCTCTCGGGAAAGTGCTGGTAACACAAACCTTACTCATGAAGGAGAAAGTGGGCTTGTTCTGTCAAAACAAGGAGGCCAACAAGGACCCAATGGAAGGCTGCAGCCCAGCAGGGGAAGATTTTCTCAGGGTGGCCTGCAGCGTATCAGGAAGCTCTGCACAGACCCACAGAAGGGCTCAGGCACAGGCATTCTTCACCAACCACACAGACAAGTGTGTGGGTTCCACATCCCTGCCACTCAGATACACTGCACTTTTGAATTACTGCTGCAGAATAGGCATAAAACCTAAATAGTCATGAATCTTCATGTTCTATATGTGGTAAAGTCTCATGGCTTCGGCTCATAGATGTGGCTGTCCCTTCTGGCCTGGTCAAACAGCCCACAGAGGAAGAAGGGTGGGAGATACACATCCTGTTGCTGCTGAGTTTAATCCTCGGCTTGCCCTTACCCTCTGCTAAGAAAAGGAGTGTGTGGAAGCAGGTGGGGTGGGGGTGGGGCTCGAGAACATGCCCACCACAGAGCGCTAGCAAGCAAGCCAATGTCACCCTTCAAAGTATGTGTGGGTGCACAAGGAGAATGTGAGTGACCTGCTGAGGGACAGGGGAGTATGCACAGCAGCTGCATGGGACTCAAAGCCCAGGGCTTAGTGTGAAAACCCTGACCTTCACACCAGCTTACCATGAGGGATGTCTCTACTGTTCTGTGCACCTACAATGAGATTTGTAACTGTGAAAATAGAGGTTTGAAATGGTTGTGAAATAACTCTGCCTAAGCCACCAGAGGCCTGAGAGAGGGCCATGAAGGCAATCATGGCACACACAGCAGAGAGCCACCCCCATCTTTGCAGAGTCACAAGTCTGTACCTCCATGCATGGCGTCTATGCGGATTTTCAGTCGGTTTGGACCGGACAGTAGCTCCTTCAAGGCATTGAAATCAAAGATGTTTCTCAGCATTGTGGCATAGGCCTCCACCGAGTCTACAATCTCCACTGGGAGAACATGTGACATTGAAAGGAAAAACAAACATATCCAGACATATTATACTCCAAACTAATTACAGTTCCATAAACCTGCAGTAACTGTTCAAAAGGGCAACTTTGACAGCTGTTAAATGTCATCTTAAACACACTAACACTTTTCCTTGAACATAAATGTTACTCATATGATTTTATAGACAAGAAAACTGAAGGCTTGAAACTCAGAACTTGAATTCCCAGCAGAGAACAGGTGAACCCTGCCATCTCTACACATCCCCCAAATCACTCCTATTGTGGCATCATGAATGGCAGGAAAGATAATGCCCACTTCTCAATTTTCTTCTTCAAGGTCCAGTAAAAGGGGAAGAAGGTCCCTCAATGAATCACTTTCTGCATGTATTGCTAGTGGTTAAAACCAGAATTATCTTTGGGAGTTCTGGGCATTTTCAGTGCCTGAGGAGTCTATGGAGCTCTCTAGTGGTGGCTTCTAAACCCTAAGAACAAGTGGCACTTTGTGTTTATTGAGGTATAACTGTCAGCCCTTGACATACCCCCTAAAATTGTTTGTGTTTATCGTGATGCTACTGTCAGACCTTGGTGCACTCCCTAAAGTTGTCTAGTGGAAAAAAGACAAATGCAGGCCACATAGGTAACCCTCTCATTATCTTCTTCTTAATATGAATGCATAAATGCTTATTCCATATAGCACTGTAATATCTTGATATTCATCAACAAAACATGACCCATGGCTGCCTTTTCAGGGGGTTTTGTGCAACCCAAACAAATGGTCTGATGGATTTGGTAAGAAGCTGAAAACCCAGGAATGAGTCTGAATGCCGGCTTTACTACTCACTGACTAGTGTGAGCCTGTTTCTCTGCTTTTGCTTCTTCCTCTAATAGTCTACAATGATAGTGCTGACCCCACAGGCTGGCGATGAAAATAAAATGGAACAATACAAAAAAAATTAAAAAATAGCAGGAGCCCAACAACATTAATCGGACAGGTCTTTCTAGCCAAGGCTGTTGTGGAAACCAAGGCCTAGAGTTAGAAATGAATCATCCAAAGTCATACAGCCCATCACTCACAAGGCTAGCGACCCAGCTCTTTCCACTCCCCAAACAAACTCCGGAGCGGCAAAGCTGGTGGACCACCATTTTCCAAAGCTGAAGACCTATTCTCACAAAAGCTCAAAAGGAAAACCCGCTCAAGTTGGAAGCAGGGGTGTGTAGGGAGAGAAGGAGAGCACCTCGGCTGTGAAGAGGGCAGGAGACAAGGAATGTATACATGCCTGTGAAGGGTTTGAACTTGTTTTCCAGGTCAAATTGCTGCTTTCCCAGAACACTGAGGTCTACCTTCAAGTCAGGGCAAATGGCATATTCTTCAATTGTCTTGCTGATTTGGAAAATTTTATCAGTGATTGCTTCTGGAGCAGGACCTACAAATCACACGGCAAGCAAGGGTCATCGTGAGCAGGTCACATGAAAACACACCCGTCACTCAGCAGTTCCTCTACCCTAAAAAACACTTCCACTGAATCACAAAACAGTAGTACCTTTTCCAGGGGGTTTTTGAGATCCAGTCTCACTATATAATTTATACTGGCCTTGAAATCACAATTCTCCAGCCTCAGATTTCTAAATGCTTAGATTACAGGCATGTGTTAGTTAATAGCAATTAGAATTTTCTAAAAGAAAATACCGTGTTAAGTTGCAGTTCATATACAGCTCCTCTTACAAGAAAGGCACTAAGAAGTACTTCACCCTCTCTGAAGGGAAGCAAAGCCCCTTCTTAAGGTGAGAATCAGAGCCCAGACCTTCCAGTGCTTCCAATACTAGCTTACTCAACTGAATATACACCTGGCTGCCTTCACAACGACACAATACTCACCCCCATTAGAAATATTGAATTTAATCCCAAAATCTCCATTGGGCCCTCCTGGATTGTGGCTGGCTGTCAGAATGATCCCACCGATTGCTTTGATTTTTCGGATGATGCAGGACACAGCAGGAGTGGAGAGGATGCCGTTCTGTCCAATAACCAGACGGCCAATCTAGGAGAAGACATTCAGAAGACATAAATCCAAAGCTGCCACAACGAAGTGCCAAGACAAGAAGAAAATGGATAATGAAAACACTGCTAGACCAATAAAGATATTTTCCTAAGAAAATATCACATGTCTCTATCACATTACTCAGATAGAATCAAAGCTGCCGGACAAAGCCTTTTTTTTTTTTTTTTCTTTTTCTGTTATCTTCTCTCTCTCTCTCTCTCTCTCTCTCTCACACACACACACACACACACACACACACACACACACATATGGAACTTTATAGCCTTGGAATAGTGCATTGGGGTGTTGTAAGGCTATGGGAAGAAAACAGTGCATGTGTAATGGTCTGTCCAGGCTAGGATCTCAATGTGGATGTACTGAAGGGTTGTGCGAAAGCCTGTATTTCTATTTAACTCTGCCATATTTTCAGTCAACAATGAGAGAAGAGAAAGAACACAGGTTTAACTAGTTAAAGGAATTCTAAGAAAAGGCTTTTGCATTTAAGACCCTTAAAATGCAAAAGGATTGTACATGATATCAAGATTGTCAAAATGCATCTTACAAATTATCTTTCCAGGCATGCTTGGCTTTTTCAAGTAGGATTCTTCAGTATACATCATGATGGGTATACCTCCTGAGCCAATGGCAAGAATATGGATGGTGTGCTGAGGACACTGGTCAGACCCATCTACATGAAAGAGACACTGGTACTTTCACTGTTTCCTAACTCACTTTCCTGTATCTCCCACAGATGTTATCCACCCAGCTCTTGAAACTTCCCTTGCTAAAATGAAGCCTGTTTCAATATGTCCCAAGTTGGAAAGATGTCAAGTCAGCCCCTCTGACATCCCTGGAGGAGGCGAACTGTTGTATTAAAAATACTTAGAAAATAGGGAGTTTGGGCCAGCTCCATTCACTGTTCTGAAAGAAGACAGGATAAAGAATGTCTTTTGATTTATTTATTTGTTTGTTTTGCTCGTTTGTTTGTTTTTGATAGTGGAGATGACTTGGTAGTAGAGGATGTATTTCCTTTTTAAAAATTCATTTTTATTTTTAATTGTGTGTGTCTGTGCATGCCTGTGTGTGAGTATGTGTGCCTGTGTGTGTGCCTGTGTGTGGGTATGTGTGCTGTGTGTGTGTGCATGCCTGTGTGTGGGTATGTGTGCCTGTGTGTAGGTATGTGTGCCTGTGTGTGTACATGCCTGTGTGTGGGTATGTGTGCCTATGTATGTACATGTCTGTGTGTGGGTATGTGTGCCTATGTGTGTGCATGCCTGTGTGTGTGCATGGCTGTGTGTTGGTATGTGTGCCTGTGTATGTGCACATGAATGTAGCTGTACACAGAGCCCAGAGGTGTCAGTGTTCCTGGAGCTGAACTTAAAAGAGGCTATGAACTACCCAGGATTGGTGCTGGGCACCTAACTTGGGTCATCTGCAAGAGAAATACACACTCTTATCCTCTGAGCTATCTCCCCAGCCCAGAAGATGTATTTCTAATGTGAAAAATGCCACAAGATACCTGAATTCATTGTAGAATATGCAGGGAAGCCTTAACTTTGTGACTCTCATCTGCACATACAATAAGTCATTCAAAACTTAACTCCCCTATAACTCACCCCTTCCCCATTACCAAACTCCTTACAGAAAGCAGCCATGTCTTTTCCTCACCTCCTAAATCTCATGTCTTTCTCTAACAAAGAGCAACCTGCAGAAGAAATGACCACTGCCCACTGCATCCCATGGCATCTTTAGTCTCTGAAAGTGAATTTGTTCCTCCCAGGTGACATTCCCAAAGCTGTCCGAATCTCAACATCTCTTCCTTCTGGTAAATACTCATGGAAAAGAACTATAGTCAGAGCAGGACTAATGACAGGAGCATGTCACACTGCCAGTTAACTGTATCTTGGTGGGGGGGGGGGGGGTGGAGGAAGCTACTGACAATGTTCCCAATACTGCCTTCTGCTAAAATCCATGGTAATCACTATCTTTCCTTTAGCCTTCCTGCATCCTACCACAACCGGAGATGGTAAAGCTGCCAGAATGTGGGTTATGCTAGAAAAAGAAGAAACTAAGCAAGGTCTTTAGAGTTTTGTGGTTCTTTTTTTTTTTTTAATCAGATTAAAGCACTTTATCAGTCCACTAAATGCCTTTAAAGTGATCTAGCCAGCCAGCATGACTGCTTTCAATGCAATGATATTTTTAATAAGGAATGTCCTTGAAAATATTGCTCAAGCTGCCACAGTCTTAACAAATAGGCAGTTACCATATTTAATCAATTATTATCTCTGAAATGTATTATTTAGCAAACCTTCAGACAGTTCATCAGAAAAAGTCTGTAGGGTCTGCCTGAACTACACACCCCACCTCTTCCACACCCTTCAGTTCCACACAAAAACCTTTAATGAAAACGAATCTATCAGAGCCAAGGGGACAGTGTACCAGATCCACTCAACAGCCTAGATATATGGAGAAATAATGTCCCATTCGTCCCCCTCAAAAGATTAAAGCATCTTTAATACCATTCCCTGTGCAGCTCCTCAAAGATGAAATTTACGGCATGTCACATTTCATCTTAAAAAATGTGTATGCTTCATAATAATTTCATATTTGAGTTCTTTATCAGCAATTTTTACATGACAGGCATTCAGATTGTGAACCTGAGGTTCAACGGAAACCCCACACTGTAGACAATGGTTTACAAGACATCTAAGCTTACTCTGGTGGCTTGCCTTTTGCTGTTGTTGTTTGCTTTTGCCAATACCTGCTTGGCACATTAGTAAAAAGTCTGGAAATGATTGCCCAACACATTTTATTGCAGTGCTCAATAGTATGTTCTTCAGACCAGAATTTCAAGAAAAAAGTACAACAAACTTTAAAAATGTATAGCTAGTAAACGAACATGTGCTCCAAATTTTAACTATCATTTAAAGCAACACACACACACACACACACACACACACACACACACACACACACACACACACACACACACTGGAGCCCCCAGAGGAATCTGCAGAACAAAACCAGCAATGTCCTGGCATGCGCCTTCCTGTAGGAGTGGGCTGGAGAGCTGTTCCACTCTCAAGATCAGGGCTTTCGCCATTTTACCTCTAACTTGCATCACCTGACCCACGTGTCCCCATGAGGCAGCACTTTGGCAGAGCCTACTTACATCATCGCCATACAGGAGCTGTTATTTCTACCCTGTTGCACAAATTCATCCTCACACAGGGCTTCTTTGTGTCTGAGGTCATAATAAACAGATCCCTCTGTAACAGTCCTCCCTGAAGGCTCACACCTAACATCCAATCCACACCCCTCACCCCGAGTACTCTTACATGACTACCAAGATCCACACACAACAGCATGCCCTGCCTTTGTTTTCCTGTTTGACAAATGACTGAACTTCAATGAGGAAGCCTTTGAACACACAGTAAACCCTCCTCTTGCCACCACCCATGACAGGTCTCCCTGTCTAGCTAGCTAGAGGCTAGCTAGCAAGCACTCACAAAAGCCTAGGGCCAGGAATACACTGTACATGTCCACAATGCAACAGGTACTTTCCAAAATACAGAACTGAGCACAACACATACGAAGCTGAACTTAATTCCCACATTCCCCTGCCACTGCTGTAATTCTGGAGTATCTTCACAGCATCCGATCTTTGAGGTCACAATGAAAGTAAGTGGGTATTAGAACTGAGGTATATACCAACCCCATTGGCAGCTGCCATCTGCACTATTGTTTCTATTGCTGACTTATTAAAATACCGCCCATCTCCACCAACCACCAGTGATGATCCCTGGCGATCTTTTAGGTCTATGGAAAACAATATGCTCTGGATAAAATTCTCCAGGTAGCAAGGCTTTGCCTCAAAGCAATAGGTGCTCTTCCGTAATCCACTTGTTCCCGGCTTCTGGTCATGGTAGGGCGCTGTGGCAAAAGTCAGCAGTGGGAGAGGACCCTCTTCTGTTTTCCTGTATGTCCCAGAAATCCATTCTTCAAAGTCACTCATCTTTCATATTCACCACCTGGCTCTGTGATGGTGTCCAGAAAGTAGCTGATGGTTCCCCAAATTGTCTATCCGGCCTGAAGCTGCCACAGTGTCCTCCGAGTAAACAACCCACATCACTCTGGGTGAGAAAACCCAGTTAATCTCCTATGGTGATAGTCTCTTGAGAAAAAGTTATGGGCCATACACCCACCCATACCCCCACACAAAGCAGATCTTCAAAGCTGTTGGGATGAAGATTCCTCTGCCCACACAATGAAGCTGAACATGCTTCAATTATTTTTGCCTCCTTTCCGCGTTAGGGCGCTGCAGAGTGCTGCCTGTAGCAGACTTTGGTTTCTGACAGCAGACAGCTGCCAGCCTACTCTTGAAGCCAAGGTTAAGATGGAATAACTGCAGTCCCTCAAAGCAGGTTAGAACAAGACACTTGGTGTAGCTCTCACTATCCCTGTTGCCCCTTGAGCCGGCGCCTCTGGGCCATTTGCAGCTAAAGTTGCTTGGAGCCACTGGGCACGTTAAAGGTCAAGCTTAAAATGGAAGAGAGGGATGGATCTCAGTTACCCCTGGTCTCTTCATTTCACTGCCATCCTGGATTCACTGCCCACAGGATCATGTCCTTCCCACATGCAGTCCTAGGTGGAAGGGGAACAATTGTCCAGCACAGAAGATTTGCTCATTGGCCTCCCAGAATTCCATCAAATAGGGCTAGAGTACAGCTTAGTGGGAATGTGTTTTTCAGCATAGGCAAGGCCTAGAGTCATCTCCAGCACTGGGAGTAAAAATAATTTAATATTTTCTTATTAACAACTTAGCTGTTCCCTTTAAATTTATAGAAAAATGAATCCGGAGATCCATAAAATTCTTGAGAAATCCAGAACAATGGGGGGATTGATATGTGTATTTTCCCAAGTATATGAGGCTGGATCAGTTACTAGTAATGTGACAAGTATTTGGACAGTAAGATTAATTATTTTAAATAGGGTCTCAA